CAGGGAACAAAAATTTGATAACAGGCTCTTCAATCTAGCAGACAAAGGTATAACTCGATCCACAGGCTGGAAGTTGAAGCTAGACAAATTCATACTGGATATAAGATGGCAATTTTTAAGTGAGGGTAATTAACCACTGGAACAATTTACCAAGGGTATGGTGGATTCTCTATCAATAGCAATTTTTAAATTAAGAGTGAATTTTTTTTTTAAGTTATGCTCTCGTTCAACAGGAATTATTTTGGGGAAGTTCTATAGCCTGTGTTATTATTGGTCATGCTAGGCACTCACAATGACTCTTCTGATCTCGGAATCCATGAACGCATGAATATTCAACTCCAGAATTCAATTTATTTGTATTGTGGTGATGTCCTGGGACCCTAATAATGGATGAGGGCCCCATTATGCTAACAATTGTATAGTCTATGCCCTAAAAGGTCTTACAATTTAAATATAAGATAAGAGACAGCAGATGAATAGATAGACAGACAGTGGAGCACGAGGTAACTGAGACAAGACTAGTATGCATGAAAAACAGTTGTCATCATGCATCAGGTATGTAACTATTGTTGAGCTTTTTGTACATATCATGACAGAAAATTGTAAGGAGCAATCTGAAGGAAAGCAATGATGTGGCTTTCTGGATGTTTAAAGCCAGCTTCTCCCATACATGAGGGTCAGCATGGGAAAAAGTATGAAGGTTCTTGTATTAACATAATGGACAATAAAGGCTGGCATTACTGGCAGAAGTCAACATCTTGAGGGTGTGCAAGAGATGATGTTAAAATAGGCCACGAAAGGCTTTAAAAGCAAAGATGAGTAGTTTATGTTTGATGCAGTGGAGAAGAGGGAACCAGGGAGGAGTGACATGGTTTTCATGGATCATTCCTTCAACTATCTTTGCAGTAGTTTTTTAAATGGAGGTAACTGGGGCAAGGTAATATTTATCAAGGCAGGAGAGAGAAAGATGTAACAGTACTAGAGATGCAAGATGAGGGTCTGGATGACAAATTTCTCTGTATGAATGGAGAAAAAAAAAAGGCAGAATTTTAGAGATGTTTTGCAGGATAAAGCAGCAATATTTAGAAATGACCTGGACGTGATGTCCGAGACAGATCTGAGTAGAAAATACCATGCAGGTTACAGGCCTGAGTGACAGGGAGGATGGTGGTGCTGTCCATGGTGACTGAAAAAGGAGGAAGGCAGGGTTTAGTGGTAATGATTTAAAAGCTCCAATTGTTAATTGGGGGGGAGGGATAGCTCAGTGGTTTGAGCATTGGCCTGCTAAACCCAGGGTTGTGAGTTTAATCTTTGAGGGGGCCATTTAAGGATCTGGGGCAAAAATCTGTCTGGGGATTGGTCCTGCTTTGAGCAGGGGGTTGGACTAGATGACCTCCTGAGGTCCCTTCCAACCCTGATATTCTATGATTAAAACCCACTATTAGTTTGTTTTAGGAATCGCTCTTTTCTCTGGAGCTAAATATTTTGAGCATTTAAAAGTATTATGAAGTGAGTGGACTGTTTTTATTGGTGACCAGTAGTATCATTTAAACACTATTTATACAGGTAGAAAACTGTCAGAGATTAACCTTATACTCACCTTCTTTTACCATTTGACTTCACCTCCCACAATCAGCTGGGTACAACTCTGTCACCTTTATCTTGTGTATCTCTTTTGAGACTTTTTGCAACGGTGTGGGTGTTTCACTGCTGACAATGTATTTTACAGCACAAAATGCTCATCTATTTGCATATGGATCAAATAACTATAGTGGTAATATGTAATATAATGTAGCCAATTAGTTCAGTTTATTATTTAATTGTGATATATTGTTGGGATTAATGCATATGCTATTTCATATGTAATCAGTGTGTGATGAATAGATTTAAATTGTAAGTATAGGTATAGGTATAGATATAAGTAGGATAGGATCATAGAAGTATAAAATTGACAAGTATTTGAGTGATGAGTATGTATTAGACAGATAAAGATAAGGTTGTAACGCATGGCCTACAGGCTGAGACCTGCAGGATTTCAGATTAGCCATACTAGGCCTCAGGCCTAAGAAGAGCTGACATAAGTAGCTTAACCAGAAATAACCCTGTACAAGTAAAGTTACAAGATTATTGTAAAGAAAGTGCCAGTAGGTGATGTTTGGGGAAATATATTGCAATGTACCTATCTAGACTGCAAGACACCTGACTGTAACATCACTGTGGAAAGTTTTGCTCTCCCCACAGGTTACCATGGGAACATGTTTACATAGATGCTGATGAGACTAAGGGGAACTCAGAGAACCACCTATGAAAAGCAGGGCATCCCAAAATGTATGGGATGTGGAAGGACAGAAAGAAAAGGGGGTTGGAACAGTCATGCATATACATATGATGGTAGATGTGGTCATAACACAGGATAAAAAGGGTTTGCTGGTATGGACAGGATGGTAAGACCACATCAGAAAAAAAAACCCATCTGTCAGGATCCCACCAAAGGCAGTAAGGGCCAAGGGTCAGAGCAGGGGGAAAACCTGAGGCTGGGAGTAGCAGAGGAGTTTGTAGTCAGGTTCTAGGCCAGGGTCAGAGTCAAAAGGTCAGAGTCCAAGTCAGGTTTCAGGTTCGAGTCAGGAAGCAAAGTCCAAATCAAGCCAATGTCAGTGGCAGGCCTGGCTGTGGCAGCTACAGGAGATCCACACTGTTGCCTGGAAACTTCCTGGAACACTCATTGGGTTTATATAGGGCAGGAAGCCAATGAGGAGCCAAGAGGCTCCTCTCTGTCAAATCCTTGAGGTGGAACTTCCCGTGGGCTGTATCCACAGCAGGTCTTGGGAAGTGGAGAGCAAGCTGGTTACATTTGCCGCTGGGTGGCAGCCTGGAGATATCAGCTGACTGGTGGCTTCACAGCCCTGGGTTCTAGACTGGGGGCCTTATACCATCAGGGAAGAACCAAGTCAGAAAGACTCTCCTCCCCGCCCCCCCGCCCCATTGATGACAACCTGTTGAGAGATGAACCTGACTCTCTGTGATAGGTGAGTATGAATACAGCATTGGCTATTGCATAGTTTTGTACATGTATGTGTGAATGTAACATAATACAGACAAAATGACTTGTGATTCCATGTGTGGTCACTGTATTCCCTCTTCGTGTACTCCTAGAGTCTCCCAACCTAAGAGAATCTCTAAGGGTGACTTTTACCCTGTTGATCTTAAAACTGTAGCAACACAGGAGATGGACTTACTTACTATGGACAGTGTTTTAGCATAGAACTATCAATTCAATTGAGATAAAGGCTACAATAGTTGTGGGTGCTAAACAGTTCTACCCTTTTGTTTTAAAATGTTCATAAATTTTCAAAACCTTTCACTTTTGGGGCTAAAGTTTTCTGTGTTTTGTCTCTACTGAAAAGCTTTTTTATTATTATTATTTTATTTGTTTTAAATTGGAGCAAAATTCTGGCTTTTGAACTGAGAAAGGGTAAAAAATTGCACTTGGGACACTTAAAGAAATTTGCTTTACCAAAAGCAGACTGCATTGGAAACAATACATCCAGTGCATGTCACCATGAAAAGTGATTTCATTTTCTGCTTTAACTGGAGGAAAATGCAGTTTTCCCATACACTGGAAGTTCTTAGGTAATTTAAATGCTTATTACCATAGAAGACTAATAAAAACATTCTGAATTGACTTATGGCATCTCTGTTCAGTAGACCTCAGTGAATTCTGCAAAAAGATTCCCCAAATATTCATTTGAATTTTAAATGAATTTGCTTCATCAGTATTCACACCCTTTTTTGTTGCCTTTCAGGGAACATTTATGCAACAAAATCTCACAAGCATTTGCACCAGAAGTTTGTTGATAAAAAATTAGCTTCATCCAATGAGGATGAAAGACAATACTAATGTGACAATCTTGTCCAAAATTTCAGAATATCAAAAAATAAATGTGAAGAAACTGCCATGCGTTAACACACAGCTAATAGAAAGAATGTCACCAAAAATACGCACTCATTTTTAATCTCAGGACTCCCTCTTCTCAGACTTGTAAAGCATCTACAGCCTGATTTACATCTAAAAGCTATATTGGCATAGCTACGCTGGTCAGGGATGTGAAAAAATATACCCCTGACTGACAAAACCCCCAGTGTAGGTGCAACTATGTCGACATAACGGTACTTCTGTCAATGTAGTTAAAGTTGCCTGAACAGGTGATGTTCGTAGACTGACAGAAAAACTCCTTCCGCTACTGTAGGTTGCGTCTACACGAGGGCTATGCCAGCATAGCTATTACAACATAGGCTCTGTAGTGCAGACTTAGCTTAAATCAATCAATGCAGATTATTATTTGTACTGCAGTAGCACTTATTAGCCATCAGTCTTTGTGCTAAGAACTGAACAAGCATATAAAATTAAGATAGATTTTAAGCTTTTCAGGGAAGGAATTAAGTATAAAGAGGAGACACAACAGATGTGTGTATACAGATAAACAGAGGTAGTACAAAGTAACAACGAGACTATTAACAACACCGTGATAAGCAATGGTCACTGCATACCAGCTGCCTAACCATTTTTGTAGGCATCATGACTGATAAGAATGATGCAGGGCATCGGCTGCACTGCCATTTACTGGCTTTAGAAAAGACCAGGACATCTTGTCTTCTCACCTGAAGTAAAGGTGTCACAGTATCAGGCTTCTGAAAAGAGGACAAGAATGAACATACAGAATACAACAGCATCCCCATATGAAGAGGTAACAACTTTTGACCCCCCGAGGGCTTGTTTAAAAAAAAAAAAAAAAATTTGATGGATTTGATGTTAATTAAAAGGAAACAGACCAAAAAGGAGTTTACAAAATGCAGTACTGTATTTCAACTTCATTGTGAGCCTTAGCACTGCACAGCAGTGAACACTTAGAAATGAAAAAATATTCAGTGTACCTTTTAAAAGCAGTATCATCAATAGTACACAACAGATAACCAGAAGTTGAATCAGCAATTCTGCTTACCTATCTTCACCAAAACGTCGGCCAATCAAGACTTTACACTTGTCTCCAGGGAGGCAAGCAGCTAGAAGAGGCACTGTCCGTAATACTCGACTTTCCTTTATATCAAAAAGGGAAAAAAACATTTTTTAAAGAATAAGGATGCTTTCTTAAACTCTTAAGATGTAGTAGTTTCTTTTGTAGTTCTTACTACCACAAAATAGGCATCATACAGGCTCTCTCAGTGATAGAAAAGGCATACAATAGGGAAAAAATCCAGATTCCAATTTTAATTTATTCTATTCTGTGTAATACTTACCTGTAATTGTTGCTCTCTGAAAATATACAGCTCAGTGAAAACATGTAGTCTTGCCTCCATTCACCTGTTCAGACCTGGCAGGAATTCCCATAAACCAAATTCTATGAAGTTTGGTGTGATGAGGACTTCTCATCCTACCACTGCTGAAGTATTTAACATGCCCCCCAATACTTCACCAGTTAATTTCAAGCTGGAAGTTAGAATACTTCCATATACATATTAGCCAATTAAAACATGAAAAAACAAATGAGGTCAGTCTCTTCACCACTGTATATCTTCAGAGAAGCATTTTTTACAGGTATCTAATTATTTCTTTTTTAGAGCTACCCATCTCAATAGATTCTCACGTTGGACTTTTATCCTGCTCTCTCTCTCAGTCAATGAAAAAACTCCCATTGACTTCAATGGTGCAAGGTCAGACCTTCAGTGACTTAAAATAAAGCTCAAGGGTACTTGTAAAAGAAAACTGTGAACAGAAACTTCAACAAAAAATGAGAAACAATGAACACGGAAACCATAGAGAACACACCCTGATCAGTACCGTTAACAATAATGCAGATTACATAAACAGTATGCTAGATAACAAAATGTATTATACACAAATATATGTGTGTGACAGGGAGAGAGAGAGATTGATTTCAAATTGCAGAGCCACCAAGCACTTGCTATTAATTCATCAGGCACAATGGAAGCCACCAACCAGATGAAAAAAGATAGTATGATATAAACTTAATAGGCTTCTTCACCTATAGTCGTCCTGCAATTTTGCCAAAAGGGCTTATTTGTGATTCAAGAAATTGATAAGAAGTTTCACGGCTTTTAAAAAATCTAAAAAGTTAAAACAAAATTTTATTCTTATGCTCAGAGTGAAGAAGCAAGAATGTACAAAAAAGTAGAAACCTGGTCAAAGACTGAAAAACGATGACAGCAAAACTGATAGTGCACCCAATGTCCTGAGCTACCACTATCCAAACAAAGCATTTAAACAACAGACTAGTCTAATACAGGCACAGAATACATTAGTTTTTATACTTGTGGGGTTCCCCCCCTCCCGTGTCTGTCTGTCTCTCTCTCTCACACACACACACACACACACACACAAATGAGGTTGACTTTACTTTCACAAACAGATGCCAAAAACAATAATCTTGGATGTGTCAGAAGATTCATTTTTTGGCAAGTAGTTAAAGAATGGCAACAAAGAGCAGAAAGAACAGCTACTATTTGTCTCTCATTAAAAAAAATACTAATAGCCAGCAGGAGGAAGACATTCAAAAATTGTTACTTTCAATGTTTTTCTCTAATTTGGTCCCACTGCCCAATCGAAATAACTTAACTTTTAGACAAATGCTTGCTGCTAACTGTATGGAAGAGTATTTTTTTTAACTGAATTAAAGGTGAACTACAAGAGAAAAGTATGTTTGGAAATGTAGACAGTATATGAAAGATGGACTACACAAAGTAGAGAAGAAATTGTTTGAGAATTCAGACATGAGCTTGTAGATAACTAAGACCTTAGTAAAGGTTAAGGCTAAATATATTCTATTTTCAATCTACAGGTCTGAAAACATGTAATTATTTCCTTCCTTTGCACTCTTCCATGTTCCTCCCGGCAGCAGTGTGCAATGCTTTGTTTTGTGGAAATACTGAATATTTGACTACTGAAGTACCATAGATACAGCACCATGGGGGTTATTCTTCTTTTCTGAGAGTTAATGGTGTTGGTTACTACCTTATAGTTTCTCTGTAGTGAACTGGATTTTTCATGATTCATGACTAATAATGAAACATCTACTAAAAGAAAATTTATTAAAAATAAACAAACAAAAACCAATATCCTTTTGGTTTCTCTCAGTTGAAATGTCATCTTGATTTTCTCTGGAATGGATAAAGTGTAACAATAAAAAATCCACAATCCTCAGGATTCAACTGGGGATGCTTATCAACCATAAGGAATAAGTGAAGGTGAGCTAACGGCACCAGATCTATGCATGAGGATATTAAACCCAGAAGGTTATTGGTCTTAAATTTCCTTCACAGAAGTTAGACATAGTGATCACTAGCTTTGCAGGAAGCATTGTTTGGAACCGAGACATGTACAGTATGGCTTACATTCTTTTAACTCCATTAAGGGCTCAGACTTGAGCCATGCTGCATTCCTTTGCTTCTGACCAGAAAGCAGACTGTTCTACACTGCTGGAGATTCCTCTAGCGAGGCTGGGGGAAAGGGGTGGTAAAACAAATAGGTGTACGGTCAGCACAGCTAACTCTATGCCACATCCCCAAGTCCCCAGCACAGCCTCCTGTCCTGAAGAGCTTAAAATCTAAATAGACAAGACAGACAGAAGGTGTGAGGGAAAAGAGACACAGAGAGGTAAAGTGACATCTCCAAGGTCACACAATAGGTCAGCAGCCAAACCAGGACCAGAACCCAGGCCTCTTAACTTCCAGTCCAGTGCCCCATCCATTAGACCACAATGCCTCTCCAAATTGGGTGCAACTAACGTAATTCCATCATTTAGATGGCCAGGAGAATGTATCATCCTTAATTCGGGAGACACATGAAATTGTTATTAGAAATCTTGCTATTAGGTTTACACAGTTATTAGGGCCCATGATTTTTTTGAAGGCATGAAAGAAGCAAAAATGTAGAAAAATATGATCAACGCTTGGGAGGATCCTTACAAAAAACACAGATCACTGGGAATTCTTGAGGAGCTAAGTACAGGTTATCAGAAAACATTAAGAATACCCAAGAAAACAAATAGGTAGTCTGTTTCTTTTAGGATTCACTTATGTGCTTCATTAAATACTTAATTTATTTATTTTTGAAATAGTAGCTCTAGTAGACCGGATAAGTAACTGTGCTTTCCTGTAGACTTCTCCTTGCTACAACATTTAAGGCCATTACCTCAGGCTGATTTGATTTATATTGTTAAATATTAATAGATTAATACAGAATAATAAAAGCTAAACACAGATCTCCTATGACTAAAATATATTCATGCTTCAACTGTCTCCAGGCCAGTAGGCACGTATTACCTACGGGCTCACTCCTAAATCCTTACTTACACAAATAGCCCCATTGACATAATGAGACTGCTTATGTGAGGAAGGATTTCTTACACATAAGGATTTCAAGAATGGGCCATGATTCAAGAGGAGGGGGAAAAATTAGGAAAATAATGACAGATTTTAAAAATAAAAGAATAAATGAGGTTAACAAATCATGTGAACTAGTTGTTCAGCTTTATAGATATTTTCAAAGATTAAGTTGTTGCACATGTGTGAACAAGATTGTTTCCTCTTGCCCTCTCTCACACCCTTTACTGTTGAAGCTTCTAGCTGAACTCTGACAATTCCCATAGCCTTACTCACCTCCGCTGGATGCTGAATTATATACAAGCAGGTGGAGACTTTTAGAGGATGTACAGGGAAGAATGGACACAAACACACCTTCTGAGGACGGCTACAGGATGGAAAGGGGAAAAAAAAACATTGGCAATTAGTCATACACACTATAAATTTTATTACGTAAAACATGTATCCCTTCTCAAGAGTTGTGTTAGTAATTTCCTGTACAACAAACTGCACCTATACAAACCTTCTGACAAACTTTCTGTTGCTGATATTGCTATTATTTGTAAAAACAAACAAGACTGTATTTAAATAGACTTTGGAGAATAGTGTTCAGAAACATGCTCTAGAAAATTCAGTTGGGATTAAGGCACTTCAAAGAATTCATTTCAACTTATTCAAGAGAAACAATTTATAAGTGGCTATGCCCTGACCAAGTGAGAAATCACCCACTGTCTTCCACCTCAAATAAAGGATTCAATAATATAATACAAAGCACAGAGAGGAAGGCATATTTGTATGCACAACAAACCATAGACATCCCAAATATATTATTTTGTTGTAATTATTTACTATTCCACACTATATTCATCAGAAATGTAGAAACAAAGGAAGACATGGTCACTGTTTCAGAAACATACAGTCTGAAAGACACAAACAGTACAAAACAAATCAGCTGTTTAAAACTGTTCTGTACTTGCCAAAGGTCTTATAGAAGACTTGAATATAGAAAGACAGTGACTTGAACATTATTATTGTTATTTGGTGCACAAGAAGAGCTGGTTGAAGGTCCAGGCACTGGGAGCAGCACAGAATCGGACACAGTGTAATACAGTGGAGCAGAGATAATATCAGAGGATAAGAATGATGTCAATAAGTTGGGTCAGAAGCTAACCAACAATAAATAAATAAAAAACAAATATTGCTACTAGCGTACTACAATTGGTGACAAAAAACGAACAAAAAAAGACCCAAACTATTTTCCTTGTAACAACAAGATTTCAAAAAACAGGATCATCTAAATAAATTTTTTTCCCTTAGGCAAAAAAAGAAAAAGAAGCTAAAAGTCATTATTTCCATAGTAAACCTAAGGTCCCCATTTCCAACTACCCCTTGTGGTCAACGTGTTTTTCCCCTGTAACATTTACTGACCACACCCGCATACTTTCACCGTATGTTTTTATACTGATATGTCTTCACTGCAAAGTTAACTTGAGTTATTCTCCTGAGTTAGCTTAGATCAGTGGTTCTTAACTTTTTTATCATTGTGTGTTACCTGGGCCGCATGGGCCAGGTGGCAAGGCAGCGGCAGCATGGACCCCAACCCTGGACCCCTGCCGTGCGGGGCCAGCTGCCTGCTCCAGACCCCACCGTGCAGGGCCGGCTGTTTGCCCAGACCCCACCACGCTGGGTGCCAGGGTAGCCCGAACCCCACCGCGCCAGGCAGCGGGGAACCTGGACTCTGCCATGCGGGCCGGCCTTTAGCACACACCTGAGCTGGACTACAGCTATGTACTAATTGGGCCGTATGCGGCCCGTGGGTTTAGAACCGCTGGCTTAGATTGAGAGAGCAGCTGCATTGCAAAAAGACTCTGGTGGCTGTGACTGCACTGGCATTGCACACACAAGAGTGTGGCACTAAGACTTCTGGGGGCAAAGCTGATAGCCCCTTGCACTGCAGTAAGCTGCAATGCTCTATGAATTCTCAGCGAGTGGTGAGAATACTTTTCTGTCCTTTTTGAGCGCACAAGAGGAATTGTCGGAAGGCACTAGCAGAGGACTAGCAGCATTCAAGTGGAGTTAGCCTACATCCATGCAACAGCATGGTAGTATTAACAGCTGACGAGTTGTGCTAACTTGACCTTTAGCCTATACATCCCGACAGGCCAGCAAATTTGAGTTAAAAGCACCATCAGACTAAAATTAAGGGGTTTTGTGTCTGGACAGGACTCAAATTAAAGACAATCCTGAGTTTAGTACGCAATGAAGGCCTTTGGCCCTTCAGGTCCTGAAGTGTTTCAATTCAGTTACATCTTGCCCCAATTTCAGACTGCCTCTCACCAGAGATCTTAAGTTTATGTTAATCTAGGATTTACACCACCATAAGTCCAGAAACTACCTCTAGAAAGCTTTGTTGATTAGGGGGAAAAAAGCAAAAACAAAAGCTTACATAGTATAAGTAACAGACTTACAAAGTAACTAGTGAGAACATTTTATCCTAAGTTAACCAAGCATATGTTTCCACTTTCTTTGCGATCAGACTCTCAGCCTTTTTTCATCAGTGAAATCTCTGTTACTCTATTAGCTGTGGTATTTAGCTGTATATAGCCCACATTACCATTAAAGCCATTCAGGTTTTTTTAGTATTAGTGCACAGACATTACCAAATTTGAAAGAGAGACCATTAAGTTTGGTGCTCAACTTGAGACACCTCGGGCCTGATTTAAACAGGTTGAACATCTATTGCTCATTTTCAGATGTGCTGAGACTAAGGCTACGTCTACACTATCCGCCTGAATCGGCGGGTAGAAATCGATCTCTCGGGGATCAGATTATCGCGTCTCATCGGGACGCGACAATCGATCCCCGAATCGACGCTTGTACTCCACCAGCGGAGGCAGGAGTAAGCCCCGTCAACGGGGGAGCCGCGGAGGTCGATTTGCCGCCGTTCTCACAGCGGGGTAAGTCAGCTCCGATATGTCCAATTCAGCTACGCTATTCGCGTAGCTGAATTTGCATATCTTAAATCGACCTCCCCCGCCCCGTAGTGAGGACGTAGCCTAAGTATCTCAAGATGGGTACATGTGAACAGGGAAATGGTTTCGATGATTTAGCTTATTTCTTCATTTCAACACTTTTGAGTAAGTTTATGGAAGTTGCTCCAGCATAATGTATTGTTGTCTTATTTTTCATATTTCCTCCTATGAAACACACAACACTTCAGAAGGGACCCTAGATAGGTGTTAAGTATAGATTAAAACCTTCTGAATACTACTTGATTATAACAGAGTATAACCACAAATAGGTGCATCCCCCAACAGATTTTTTGCTGTCTTTGCCTTGAATGTTTAGACACTTTTCTTATTGGTCGTAAGTTTTAAGTTCTTGTACTTCCCTGCAATTAAACATTCCATTAAATATATGATTTCTCTCAGATATTACCCAGCTCACTGCATTAAGAAAAGAAGTTAATAGTTAAGGTTTTCCAGTTACAACATTTTCTGTAGAAAAGATTTAGTAGTGAATACCCACTGAATAAATCAGTTTCAAAACAATAAATTCTTAACTCCCAAACTCCAATTCAAAGAGCTACATTTCCCCCCAGCTTCTATAAACTGAAGTAAATGGCATCCAGTGAATCCTGAACTGTATTTGTTATAATTAAATTTCTCAGACACAATTTACTTTGTTTCTTGGTCTCCATTTCATATAAAACCCCCTCCTTTCTGTTGTTTTTTGCATTTTTCACACTTGGTTGTATTTTTGGTTGGTGACTTTTCAACTTTGTTAAAATTTAATAAAAGGACATTCTAAACAAAGAAAGCAAGTATTTTCATATTATAAACTCAACCCTGTCCATCTGTAATTTGATTTGAAGGAAATGGAGCACAAAGTATTGCAAAGTATTTTTTCAATAAAACTTAATTACTTACATGTGTATATACACATCATTTAAGTTTAGGCACCCAATTAGGCACCTAATTATGTTGACTATGTCTTTGTACAACCCTTCTCTGGGGGCACCACGCTTATTTCTGTGCTCTCATTTTGATGCCTCATGGTTACTGTGCTTTTAGGGGCAATTCCCTACATACAGCCCACATTACTAGCCTGCAAACTGTGGGGCTCCTAAGGGGTAGCAGTGGGAAAGGAAAAACCTTCCATTAGACTACAGAATGGCAGAAATCCTGTTCCACAACCACAAATGTAGCCTCAAGGTTACAGAAGCCTACACTCTGAAGGCCATCTAGGCAAAAGGAGTATTTTGTATCTTTTTGTTTGTTGTTTTTAAGTTTGTGGGCACAATCCTGCAATGCACAGCAGGCTGAAGTCAAAACTGAGTAGGAGTTGCAGCCTTGGAGCCAAAAAGAAAAAACACGAGAAGAGTGGTCTGTGCCTAGTCCAGAGGGAAGAGGTCTCTCCAGGGACTCCTTCTGCCCAAGTGTGCCCTGTGGCTATGGCTCTCTTCAGGGAGAATAAAGATTGGTGGTAAAGGAACATTTGTGTCTACATCAACAAGGGCAAACTAAAGGTTTACTTCGGGATGTGGACAGTTTTACTTGTGTATCTGTTTATCTGTAATTTCTCTATGGTTCAGAATTCTCTCAAGATGTTGTTTCCTCTGTTTTCCCTTGTAGCATTCCAGTATCTGGAAAATTATTATAAGGCAATGCCAGGCAGTGATACCAACCCCAGGCCACACCAGTGTAAGTACAATACCTTACTGGTTTAAGTCTAGTAAAAGTGTTAAATGTTCTGAAATTGTCTAATGAGGTCACTCCGAATTTTCTTCACATGCTGGAGCAGAAGGCCACTCCCACAGTTTTTTAAATCTAGTTTATTTTAAAATGTAAAAAGTTAAAAAAAAAACTAATGTTGAAATTGAAAGATACATTTTGTTTATTTATAATACGTTGTGTGCAGTTTATCGTTTACAGTGTTTCCCAACACGGCTAAGACCAGCCAAGCAATGTTTCCCTTTCCTGGTGTCAAGCTTGCTGTGAATCGTGGTCACAGGGCAGGAATGCTATAAAGGTGAAGATGCAGAAGGCCATAAAATAGGCTGGTATATGAAAACCCCTTCTCACAATCTCCTTTTAATCTCCATTCTCACACAAATAAAATCTATGTATATCCAGGCCATAGATGTGCTCTTCTGAGGCCTAATTTTCAACCTGTCATAACATGCCCATAGGGCTGTTGAAATCAGGCACCATTCTGAGGATGCAAATAAGTACACACCTTCAGGTCTCAGTGCCTCCCCTCAAATGATTCTTTGGAAGTGTAGCCATTTAGCTTTATTCTGAATATATGCATTTAACCAGTTTTAATATTTACAATGAACTCAGACAGTTCATCCCATGATAAAGAGCAGCCTAAGCAGAACAAGAT